TAGGACTTCGACCTTGAATTAAACGGGGTTGTAAAATGCACACACAATGATAATTTATGTTGCACATGTTTTTTTCAGCTTGGGTTTCACTCTATTCTAGGCTGGATAACGTTCTTCCCGACGTATCTCTTGTTTGTTTCTTGTTCCATTTATAAATACAACGGCGTTGTTATGCTGCAACCGGACCAATTTTTAGGGCAACCCAGTACAAACACCTACCTCTCACGGCAATGCCAACTATCATAACTGAGAATAAATGTAGAGATGAAAGATGGTGGTACTCAAAACCATTGTTTTTATTGCTCAACTGCGGTATAACTGTGGTATAAAGGGAACTCAACGTTAAACGGAGGTGAATTCACCATATTTTGTCTCCATTTTATCCTGCTTTTCATTCATTATTAAAGAAACAGCAAACAGATTCAACGCGAAGGAGATTTCTGATGTTCATCATGGGCGAATAACTATGCGCGCTTGCATGTAATTGCAATGCGTGTTAGTCTTTCACAGGCAACTACGCGATTATTCAAACGATAAAGCAGATTTCACATTAAAAGAGTTTTCCTGATTTGATATAACCGCAGTTGAACACAAAGCTCTCTCTGAGTATTATTTCAGAATGGTATATATAGGCTACCTGAAACCTATTGTTACCATCGGATTTGTGAATAACTAACATTCTAAAAGCGGATTTCATCCATTTTTAGTGTTTCCCAGTTAATTACTTTTTCCATATATTCATTCAAACTGCTGTGGAAAATCCAAAGGACTAAAATAGCTGTAGCTTGCGCTTCACCTTTCAAGTCCATCTTGTTGTGCATGAAACGAATTTTAGTCTGCATGCTATTGCCTAATCAAGAATTCAATGCGAAGCAGACGACCAATTGGTCTTTAGTTCCGAATATGGTTATGAAATTCAGTTTAAAGAGGAATGGTAACGTCAATCAATGGTTTTTGTGAAGTCACTCATGACACCTGTGTTTTGTTCTAATCGGGTTTGGACAAAGGATTTCTGCTGCCTTTCTACGGGCAGAATTGTATCCATTACTTGCATGTTCGACAAAATTTTGTTTTCCGTACTCTTTCCTCATTGGAGCAAAAATACATTCATTAGTTTAGCGCCCAGCCAATGATTTTTGGGCCTCCACCTCCTGTTGTTTTTGCCATCAGAAAAGAGAATCCTGATGGAAATTTACACAGACCAGTTATGCTCTCAAGCGTTGGCAAGATAACTGAATTCAACAGTCTCTTGTCCTCCGGTATTGTGTTTTTGATTCACTGGTTAGTGAAGCATGTGTGCAAGTTTATGTACAAATGGTTAATCTTCCGACGCTTGCATACATGGTCTCAACTCTTCTAAATGATAAAATTTACTGCAGTTCACCAATAAATTTAATACCATACTAGTTTCTAATGTTTTGATTTAAATAGATTTGCAATAACCAGCAAATCATGAAACCTGGTCATCATGGCTTTTGTTTGTTTGCTAACTAACATATTGGTAGAGAGGTGTAAGTGTATTTGTTATTTTCAGTCTATATATTGAGACCAACGGTCTATATATAGATTGTGTAGGAACATCACATTCAGTTGTCATCAGTGAGCATGTGAGTTTCCTTTTCGTCCCCTTTATCAATCATTCCTGTGAAATTGATTACTTGACTATCGATTTCAACGATTGCTGAATTTCCCCATGTTTGATAATTTGCATCAACCTTCGCATTGAATTTTCACCTAATTTTAACGCAACAAAGTTCTCCTGCAGTAGCCATCTGATTCCACGAGAACGCAGGTGAATTTGTGGTATCCAGGACCGATCCCAATTCTGAATCCACTCAAATACACTGAAAGATTGTTTGCGGGCAACGCAGTTCGAGTTCTTATACAATTAGCGTCTTCATTAAAGGCCACACAATCCCTGGACAATCAATGACACCCTCAATAAACGGGTATAAAGGACACACTTCTCACAGTAGGTTCTCCGTGGAGAGGGCTTCCAAAAGACCTGCAAGACAGGTAAAATACAATACGTAACCATGAAACAAACCGTCCAGTGAAACATGCACTATACTCACTAGCAAATCAAAATGGCTCGACCCTGTCTTCACTACAAATATACATCAGACGGTAAATACTTGGAGTATCATGCCATCAATTCGCAACATACATTAACGAAAACAGTTTGCAGACCTTGTCAAAACACTCTCCGACCTAGTAGTGTCGAGCTGAGATTGTGACTATACATACGGGGCCTTTAATTTAAAATCTTATAGTTGATATCTGTTCCTGCTTTCTGGAACATCATGCAATATTTTACGTGGCTCAAATATTTTTTAGCTGAAGACTCAGGTTGTGAAGGTGAAAAAACGGCTTGTATAGAAATGCCGCAAGATTGATATAAATGTGAATGATGCCCACTCTGACCCCGCATCAACTGATATTTGGTTCAAACAACGAGCGCTAACACATTCAGGAACCCAATATAGTAGAACTGGATTGGTTTCCTAACCCCGCAGATTGCCAAGCGAGACTAATCACTTAAAGTTATTTGAAGACTAATTAGGAACCCAACCGTTAACTTTCCCTCTAATGATAAAAATGCGTTCTGTGAAATGTCCCGTGGTCTACTTCCTCAAGATTGGTTACAGTGGTTTTCAGTCAAAGTCTGAACCATAAGGATTATAAATTGTAGCAGATGACTGCAGTTGTTGTTGTCGTTGTTGTTGTTGTTGTTTGTCTCTTCTATTTAAGTCTACTAATGAAAGAATTACATTTTTCTGCGTTTTCCACCCATTGCTTGGATGTATAATCATTTCCAGAAGATGGAAATGGTAAACCACAACCCCAAGATTTTCTCCTGGAAAATAGACATATAGTTAGACATCGGTGGAGCGTAATAAGTACCACGAGAAAGAGCAACTAAGTGAGGAAGAATAGTAAAAGAAGGAGCAGGATAGGAGAATATGTGGGAGAGACAAGAACTGAACCAGTTTGCTATAGCACTGATTGACATAATTCAATTTACTTCCCGAGGACGCCGAGCGAGAGGGAGAAGCACGCACAAGTTAGATAGAAAATGAGAAAATAAATGACGTGATAGTGGATGTTGGCGATAATATTCCATCCACATGTTCACGTTTCGCGCAGTCAACGGAATTGTACAGGCAGGGGAGGAAAAGTAAATAGTATTGGTTAATTTGTGCAACAGTTTATTCTGATTAATGTCTAGAGTTTTTTCAGATTACATAACTCGTATATGGACTTGATTCATTTGAACGCACATATTTGTGATAGTTTACCAAAACGCGAATAATGCACTGCCTAAACACTTTCTCCAAGGTAAGGTTTCACTGGGAATTGACTATTGAGTTTGAAACGATACTTTCACAAATCAATCCTAAAGATAACAACTAATTCTATAAATCTTTGGTTTGAGGTTCTTACTCTCGGAAAACTGAAATTATTTGATGAGGGAGGGGGTTAAGGATTCAAGTCCATCCTGATGACATTCTTGGGAGTAACTGATATTCATGATGCGAAAGTTACACAGAGAGACTAGCGCAGCAGTGATGGAATACCAGCTTCAGGGAGTGGTTGACTAAGCAATACGGACTTTTCTAACATGATTATATTGGTAGAAACTAATGGAGTCCGAATGGTAGTATCTAATTGCGGTCATTCTAGCTGTAACGTTTTCACATATTAGATTAACACTGCTGTACTAAGTCGTCAGTCAATTCCAATCATCGCTGCTTGGGGCTCGAGGTTTGACAAGCATCCGCATTTGTCGACAAGTTCTAATAGTAATTGTAATTGCAAGTAGGGAAATCTCCAGTTTTTTATCCCTTTTTAGTAAACACAATTGCAGGACAAACAGCCGGATCGAAATAAACGAATCGATCAAAAATGAAATCTAATGGTTATGGTATGGAGTTAAAACATCAATCACTATGCTCACGTCTAGCGATTCCATTCCAGTAAGTTATCTTACTCGAAGAGCACAACGACTCGAGAGAAAATCTGCAACATTAACTGTGCTTAGCTGTTCTTCATCCCCATAACTATCAGAGGAGTAGTCGCTCATGCTCGGTAAAGATGCTTTTGATTACTCATACGACACGTCTTTTGTACATGCTACTTTAAAGTTTTTTACGGGGTCACGGGATTTCCGCATTCGCGCCACTGACTTTTATTCTGGGCATATCTCTAGGCGTCTCCAAATAAGGTCAATCCTCATTCCTTGGGTCCCAATCTGGAGGTCGGGCTGCACTGACTGAAGGTCGTTCCTTTATACGTCTACGCCATGTCATGGTCTGAACGCGACGTTTATTCGAGCCTTGCGCAGCATGTGCAAAAGAGCACGGAAAGATAGTCGGTCGGCAGGAATGTGCGAAACGTGGCTAAGCCATCTGAGGCAGTGCAGAGTGATTAATTCTTTTACAGAACGACGGGGCACACTCAATACATGACGACGGACGTCGTTATTGCTCATCAGATGTTTCCATCGGATACTTCGGTGACATCTTAGGTGGAATACAGAAAGTCACTTAGTATCTCCCACTGGGAAATGTCAAATATCAAAAGGTGTACAATGAAACACACAAGAATGTTTTTATTCCTGTTGTCTATGCTTTCATCGATGTTCTCCCTCTGTTACAAACGTCTGGAGAGTGGTCGGTGAAACTTGTGTTCTCTTGTCTCAGAAAGCATACACCTCAACATTTTAAAGCTCTTTTTCTCCGGGAGAGAAGAGTAGTTGACACCGGCGTTTATGTCCTTTGAAGGCCAACATAACTGAACTCTAAATATTTATTTTTTTTTACCCTTGTTTGATCGCAGGCAACAGGGTTCGGTGTACTGATGTGGGTCTCAATCTTTCGGAAATCACCTGTTTCTCAAATTTTCATATTCTGGTCAACCAATTATTTTTGTTAGAGTCAATAGGATATCCATATCTGATGGTTTGAGTGCCAAAGGGGAGCAGAAAAATGTATGAACCGCTGGTGAGACAGACAGTGCTATTATTTGCTCTCCTTCGACCTTTACACAGATCACTTTTGAACTCTATCCTCAGAAGCAGTGATACAAAAAGAACGCAAATTTAGTTTTTAAAATCCTTTTTGCGGTCGATTGTCCGCGGTTGAACATAGGATGTGCGACATATTTACGAGATAATCCTCAATAGCAATTGCCGCCCAAATGTACTGAATTTTTTCTAATGTCGGTCAGAACACGTACTGTGAGTAGCCCCCAGAATGATCCGCGGTATACTAATGTATTTGAAGGTTTTACTTCCAGGCTAAGAATAGATAGCATGTGACTGTCAAGAAACGACAAGTAAATAGGCGTGAGAATGTGGAAACGAAAGTCATAGGACCTTCACATCGAGTAGACTGGGGCTTGTCAAACCTATAGAGAGACTGCGACTGACCGGAAAAACTGAACAGCACAACTTCCAACCGATCTGATTGGCGCTCACTTTGCTATTATGCAACAATACATATGCGGTTGACAAAATATTGAAAATCGGTTCTCGTAGCTCGGGTGAACTGAATTCCATTGCGCCTGTTCGCTGAGCTTGGCAATTTGTTCGCAAACGTTTCATCACCAGCCGAGGCAATTTCATCAGTGCATGTGAAGTGGCAGTGTTCTGCCTGTACCCGTTTCTTTTGCATATGCGTTCTTTTACACCGACTATTTTCGTCCCCTGTTCCCACCGTGCTCGACTCGGTCCGCCGTTGAACTGCTGCGAGCGGGTGGGGGTGGGAGGGGAGGAAGTTGACCTTTCGTCCCGTTTACGGTTCTCAGGACACGGCGTGACCTTTGTTGCGTCATTTGGTCCTTCAGTTGCATTGGCGTGTACTCGTGATCCAGTTCGATGTGCTCGTTTATAGAGTTGATTGAAGAGTGACAGGCCTCGAGAAATTCTTTGGGGTGTTTTGACCGGGCTTGGTCGCTGACTCTGACTGATTCGAAGTCAAATTGATGTCCTCCTTGATCGTCGTGGAGGGAAGTCAACGATAGTGGGTCAAGCCTCCTAACTTCCGATTGGTGTTCACGGATCCTTGTTGACAGTTTTCTCCCAGTTTGTGCGATATAGTGTTTTGAACAGCTCGTGCAGTTTATTTTGTATTTGTTTTGTTTGTTTATTTTTGTATGAAACGTTTGCAAACAAATTGCCAAGCTCGGCAAACAGGCGCAATGGAAAATATGCGGTTATTCTGTGAGGTGCCCAAATAGGTCTGTTCGTGATACCGGTCTATCTTTATGTTTGGGTTCATTTTTGCTCATGCTAATGTGACGAGCATGAGGGATTCCGTTGCATCACCGTGATTTTGGCCCACAGTTACAAGCACATCTCCCGGTGCTCTGGAAAAAGTAAATAACTATCCCGTATCACTTTGAGCACTTGAAATGTACTTATATATTTCTCGCAACCGGTTTATATTAGTGACCTTTGGCCTTCGAGTTGATTGATTTCTCCTCCCCGTGCGTGTTCACCTGTCCCCAAACCTGTCACTCTTTTAAGCAAACGTGATCCAAATGTATCTATACAGCTGATGAGGTTACCACGAAATAGCTGAAAAAAGTATTTATATATATTAAGGGGTTCTGAGTATTGAAGTACAGTCAGTTGCACCGGATAGTTTGAATATTTTCAATGAAGGTTGAGGGTATAACCGTAGGCCATTCTTCGTTATGATTATAGTAAACCAGTATATAAATTGCATCAATCTACCGGTTGTGTATTTCACCTTGTGCTGAAATAACTTGGTTCATCAATAATTTAATTTCTTTGTTAGTTGTTAACATCTTCACCTCCTCCAGTATTGTTATACCATTAGAATTGTCCATTTTTCTCTACCTGTTCAGGTAAACCCATTCAATGCTGGGTTCCACAAGAATTCACACATTCTTGGGAGGAATATGCGGAAAATTTGTGCTGGGTTCAGAACACTTATTTCTTACATCCAAGCGATCAAGTCCCCGAGGACGATTATGAATTGACAAACGTGAAGCACATCGGATACTATCAGTGGATCGCTATTGTGTTGGCCGGTCAAGTTATGCTCAGTTGGATCCCATATTTGCTATGGCGTGTCGGTTCTAAACGTCTTCCCATTTTGCTCCGCTCGGCTAAAGAGGCATCAGTTCCGGACCGGGAACTGCGACAGAAAGCTATATCCTGTCTGGTAGCCACATTGGAAGAACAGGCCGAGTCCACTGCCCGTCATCGTCGAATGACTAGTAATTTGCGACGATTTCTATGTCAACTGCGACCAAACACACGAATCACTTTTTTATTCTTTATTGTTCGCTTTTGTTTCTTAGGCAATTCTATTGGACAGATCTATCTGATGAAACGTTTTATCGGAACAAATAGTACAATGTTTGGAATTGATGTGTTGAACGATTTGATCACTGGGAAAGATTGGGAAACCTCAGGCAAATTTCCCCGAGTCACCTTTTGTACCGTGCGCGTGCGCNAGATGGGACAGATTAAACCGGCTAGGTGAGTTCCACGATAGACGATCTTGGAATGTTTTTTTAACCGTTCGCTTTTCTTCAGCTGACCTTAACTGGAACACCCAATGAACTAAGGTGTAATTGGCCTAGTTAACTAGTTTTTTTTAAATTATTATTCCTTTGTAGCTTGTAAGAATAATATATTGAATGTGATTACTTTATATTTCATAAAGCAGCATGGATCAAGTTGCCACATCTATTTAATAATTCATGTTCGATAAATGCTTTCCCCGTATTCGTTGCCTTTGTAAAATATGAACATCAAATATGAAATTCAATGCGTGAAGAAATTTTTCAATAATTTTCAACCGGGTTCAAAAATTTACCGACTTGGATAAGGTGTTTCTAGTCCAACTATATACAGTGATTACTTGCTATTATTATTTTTAATCACAGTGACTGATATTTAGGTCATTAGAAAACATTATCAATGGTCAGTGGGCCTGGTTTGAGGGTTGTGCCTAGATGCCTAAGTTCCACTCGAACTGCGGTACCTCTGTGAAACAACCCTAAACATCGGCTACTGCGGTACGCCTTACTTTGAAAATAACAGACGGTTGAATATCATGGTTTGAGTGCGTGAAAAATGTAATCTCGTTATACACCCCATGTGATCAGAGAACACTAGTTGATAGTACGGTAATCAGAAGGTGAAGGTGAAGGCTCTGATATATACTAACTCAGCACTAACTGACCAGGTCCAAATATGTTTACTTCGTATAAGAAAGCAAAGTAAATGGCAGTTGTTATCTTCTTTTTACCCGATGTTGAATGGAATTTCTTATCTGTTGCTTTCAGTTGCCGTCGACCACACTTCATGTTGAATGAGGTTGAAATTACCTAAAAAACCACACGAACATGAACCTCAGTCTTAACATCCTGGATGAGAAAAATTCCATACATTGAGTGGTGAATGTCCAAGAACATCCAGAATAAATCATGAAATCGTAGTTAATGACATGCTTGACTAAGACTATTATGGCTTTCAGCTGCCTAAGTTTACGGATCGAATTCTCGCTGTGGCAAGATACATTTTGAGAACGCATTCTGTCGCCCATATTGAGTGAATCCCAATTTTCTATCATATTATGACTGGAGAAATTGCAAGATTACTACTGATGAATATTTACTTGGGTGTCCTTATGTAAACAACTCGCAACAAGATGACTAATATTCACCACTGTCACCGAGCTACTGGCATTGAGGGCACCAAGTACGCAGCAAATGGCAACTAGAGAGACGGGTTTAGGGACACGCTCGAAGTTCCGTGAAGTTGCTTTTTAATATTTGACGTTAGTGTTCTTTGCATGTTAAGTTAGTTGAAAAGTTCGTTTTCTTTTGTTCTTTTTTGGTCATCATGCCACTCAATCCGAGTATTTGTTTGTAAAATGTAATTGAAATTGCAACAAAAAATGCATGGTTGGTTTATCATAAACTGAGCTAAACTTGCATATCTCCACATACACTCATGCATAAACCAAAGCTAGTTCGGCCCTGAGCTTATCTTACAAAATTAGAGTTCCGTATGTGGGATTTCCCTTAGCAACATTTGAACATAATGCTCTTATAACATTTTATTCCAAAACGTGTAATAAAAAAGCTCAGTGTGTTTTCAGACACCCATGGATAAACAACAACTGTGCAAATTACAATTGGAATTAACCAACGTCAGTGCGGTTGAAGTGGATGGTTTCTTTCATCGCAGGTCATGTGGTTAGTCGAGAAATATGACTAGTAATTTTCTATCATAAAACCCGGGTTGTTTGTCCAGGTGTGTCCGTGTGATTTCCCCCATCTGTGCATACCGTATGCCCAGAAAGTCACAAAACCGTAAAGATTTATCGATCAATCCACTGATCCGATGTAGGAATCAGTATGAAAAACAGCACTAAAAGTGCTTATTCTCTTGCATACATTCGGTCACTGCCGCATGCAATTCCAACGCGGTCAGAGTTAAACGATAAGCTCTAAGGCGTGCGTTTTTCCATCTGGGGAATGAACTGTACTTTGCTTGTGACTGACATTCTGGACCAAGAGGAATGAGTTTCGTTGTAAAGTAAAACAGAAACCAAACTGTAATATGTTTTTTAAGCCAATGATTGGTCTGTTTACACCCCTATGTTCTTGTTTACCCCGTTCGGTCATGCTATGATACCTATGCACATGCCAATATCCGTACGCGCGCATCAGGTGGTCTGTACTGGTAAAATATTCCCATGGGTAGTTCAAAACTTTTATTTCCGGTTAAAGTATCCCATGATGCTAAAAATATCCCACATTTTGGCAAACATAAAATAGACATTTCAAAAGAGAAGTTGAAACCTGAGTGCTGATCAAACGCCCCCAACCGGTAGTGTTAGACGTCAGAGGTCTGGAAACCGAAAGAATACTTCTCAGGTAGACCGAAACAAATATATAGTAAGAATAGATTTGTTTGATGTTTTCAGAGTGGAACTAACCAGAATCGGTATCGAACTCTCTTGATTTTTTTCTTCTTTTACTTAAATGTATTGCATGACTTATGCACGTGCATCTTCGAGGAAGGTGTGTGGACCAATCAAAGGCTTTTTATTTAGTGCGGCGAAATCGGAAATTTAGATGACCGAGGTCCCGTGCGGACGTAACACCATTTTGGGGGATAAACTTGTGACAGTTAGAACTTTACCATCACTGCTTGGTACCCCGTTTATAAACTAGAAAGATGTGTGGTTTTAGCATTCTGTTACTGATCCATTTGTTCAACTACCGTACATCAGCGTACAATTTTACCAAAATGCAAAATATATTTGTCCATGGTCAACACGAATAAATACCACCCAAAATTGGAAAAAATATTATAATAATCTTTCCCCATTTTGCGTTTAGTCCGGTTTAATTATTTAATTGAAAACATTTCAAGCTTTAAGTGGCCTATCATTAAGCCTTTAATCGAAGAAGAACTCTCTCACCCGATTAATACAGTCCCGTTTTCCTCAGTGTCTTTTGCCAGACAGCATTGCCTAGCCGAATCTAACGTACTGCGTATGAGCTTAAGTTTGAACGATCACAATCCTTGCCCGCAGCTGGAGAAGAAAGTAGCGTTCAGAAAATGAGAGCTTGAGCAAAATGGAATCAGATCAAAATGCTTGTTCCAAACAGTATGGCGTGAACCATTATATTACTAAGGGCAAAAGAAAAGTTGTAAGTTTTGCAGTTGCACTGATTACATTCACCCCTGGAGCGTGAGAAAAATGATAGAAGGGTTTGAAGAAACATCAAATTTTAGATAGCAGCTTTTATCTCTAAAATTACTGAGTCTTACCGGGTACGGAATCGTTGATAGGCGGCAAGCAAAATTTAATGCGTCCCAGAGATATGTGATACTTCTTTCTGCTGCGATCAACGAAAATTAACCTAAATCACTGCTTCTACGTTTTCATCCAAATATTTTAAGTTGAAATGAGAGGAGTAGACTAACGCTAATTTATGTTGAGTGCCTGGAAATATGTTCAAGTTGCAAAATATTTAAGGGAATATTTTTATTTCTCAAGTTAATTTTTAATAGAGTACCATTTCAGTCGTAAAATGATAGATTGACTTGATCACACTTTTGGAAATCCCACACGACTCCACAGAATAAACAATCGTACCATTTTTGTGTTTTTCAGAACACTACTATCTATGTTCTGTCTGATTCGACAGTTTGAAGATTAGACCAGTTTCTATCAGTATACGGCTTCAGTTTATATGAAAAAACATTTGTTGGAGGTACAATTTTGAAACCTCAGATGAATATAACTTTTGCTGGTAATATAATATTTGGCTCTTCTATTTACTAGAAAACTTAAGATATTTTGATTTCCCAGTGATACCAAGCAGCAAAAAACATATCGTTTAAAATGAAAATATTATGGGATGAGATTTGACCACAAATGTTCATTTTCACCTGCAGCAATTTGGTTTTGAGAATGAAGAACCTAAACAGTCAAAAACCTAAATGTATTTTTACCGTTTTTTGTTGAAGAAATTCTTGCTTTCCATATCGATACATGCTCGGGTTGTGATTGATTTGTTTATTTTTTAGGCTATAACCCTTTTAGTAGAAAGTACCCCAAGTGGATCTTAGGGACCGAAATTTTAATCTGTAAATAAAAGTGGAACACGATTATGGAAGACGTTATTGTTGTAATTTTTGCCACATTTACGTTGGTGTTTACAATGGAAACAATCTCGATATACTATTGACCAATAATAAGCGGAAACCTATTTTATACATCACTTTCACTCTAAATATCCTAGAAGGCTTCGAGTGGTGTTATTAAGCATGAATATGTCTTTAAATGTCCTAGACCATCAGTCTGCAGCCGATAAAAGGTGACTTAAATAAGGAAGAAATGAAATGGTGGCAGTATAAAATATTTCCTAAATAGCTTTTACGTTTGCATCATTGTGATGGATGCAGAACAACCGCGTCAGGCATCTCCTTTTGCAAGGAGTGCCAACAGTTTTCGCCACCCGGATGGGGCATAAAAATTGTGAAGCAAATGTTTACATTCCTTTTCGATTGTTACATATTCCAGGGTGGCAAACTGCTCTAACCGATGCACTTCACAGCGTGTAAGTGTGTATGTTCCGGGCGTGGAGGAAAGCTAGCAGAAAAATCGTTCGGAACGATGTGAAACTGTACTGGTTCATGATGTGACAAAAATGCACAAACCGTTACATTATAAGCCCATTTTTACATAGACATATCACAAACCAGCTGGTACTCAGGTGTTTACATTTTACGGCTTTTGAAATGACTAAAATGAAGTGCGATAAAGCAATCGTTAGGGTTGCATAAGATGCATTGAATGTTCTTCGGCTCCGGTAAATTGGAAAGGAAAACGGAATATACGTTGTTGGAAACTTGCATTTGAACTTTATAATCGAAGCCCACTCGGTATAAGTATGGAAGCTATAATTTTGAGCCAAGTGACAACATACCAAAACCGTAAAAATTTATTAAAAG